ATTAGTATGTATTTTAGCTAATTTACAATAAATTACGAAACAAATAGCAATGGAAATAATTTATATGTCAAAAGTCTTCTTTAAAAATTGTTTGTTTTGAATTACGATCGAATAATATCGCATAGTGATCCACGTATTTTTCAGAAGCTCTAGAAACTAAGAAATTTTAAAGTTAAATGAATATTCTTTCTCTTTTCTGACTTCAAAATATTAATAATTAATCTTTAATAGGGTGAATTTGAAGTAAAATCCATTCCCAGAATTACTTTCAAAAATAATTCAAATTTCATGCCATAATCAATAGATTACTCTAACATACTGTATATGAAGGAATTTATATTTTACCGAATTTGTTTCAGAGAAACTTAAATCAGTATGTTCACACTACAGGCACTTGAATATTTATAATACTCATTTGTGTTATATAATACACATAAGATTTCCTTAAAAAAACCCTTCGGAGAAAAGCAATTACTGAAGTAAAAAATAAAGACGTAATATTTTGTTGCTGGGATAACAGCATGATTCCTGTGGATTCTATAGAGTTGGAGTATCATACTTCACTGGTAAGAGGAACACGTTCATTTCTGGTTTTATTTTTAAATTAAAAACTAGAATTAAAAACTTTCACAAACATTCTACTGATTGTAAGCATTTTTTAAAAAAGCTTTATTGTGATAAGAAAAATTTGTATTGTAACACTTATAATTTTGGGTTATAATTTTTTTATTCGGAAGCTTATATATATATTTTTTGCATTAATATATAAAGCTAGAGACGTACTTGGTTTGGCGCTGGCTTGTGCACCCAAGTTTGTGGTTTCGATCTCTGGTCAAGTCGGGGGATTTCCAGGAAGAAAAATTGGAAGTGTCTATGTCGTATGATTATGTGGCATGTTAAAGATCCCTAGAAAACCTATTTAGCTTGGGTGCTCTCAGCAAAATTAAATTCCTAAGACAGTTTCGAGTCGTCAGGTGCTTCCCTCTGGGGAGGAAACTTTGCGTCGAAACTACATTGTGACAATTGATACCCACCTATATGGTGCCCACTAAAAGTGATACCAGCTCCCGGGAAATGCACTAGATCTTCTATGATGATTACCAATTCGCAGCCCCATTAGAAAGAAAAAAGTGCAAAGGTAGTGGTCGTAAAAATTTGTCTTAAATTTCTATTAAACATTACAATTTGAAACGATAGAACATTTATTTAAAATGGAAGGAAACTATTTAACACACATTCGATAAACTAGCTTGAAGTTATTCAGATTAGTTGAGATAACATGTAACATAACGTAGCTTTTCGAATTTATTTATTGAGACACTTTTTAAGCATTTCAATTATAAAAATGTACTATATATAAATTTCGAAAATTTAGCAAAAATTGAATTAAAAAATGCTTAAATAAAATAATAAATATCAGAAATGTATAAATAAGAAACAACTTTAAATTGCAATGAACGTTTTCAAATAAAATGATTTCGAAAGAATAGATTGCCAATGCTCATAAAATTAAATTGATTCCAAATTTCAGCTTACAAAGGTATTAAAAGTATAAGAAATGTTTTTGAGCTACTACTAAATATTACTATAGATTCAGAAAAATATGCAAAAAAAGTCTTGTTTTTCAAGTCAAAAATAAAAGTAATTTTAAAGTTGTAAAATTTTAAAAAGAAATCTAAAAATAAAATCGTCTGCAATTAATAGGGTTACCACCGGAAAAAAACGAATAAAAACTTTAACATACGTCATCCCCATGGCAACCACAATACCGCACGTAAAAATATCTAGGTAACCATATTGTAATATTACGCCCATCTTGGCGAACATAAACAACAATTTGGCGCGTAGCACTCCGATATCAAATAAGCACCAAGTAGTGTTATAGATACAGAAAGCTATAATAAAAAAGTTAAGGAAAATGAATTCAAAAGGGAATGAAGTGAAGAAAAGTCATGTAAGAAAATTAGTCACTTAACGCAGTAAGGTATAGATCAAAAAGAATATTCACATAATACATAAAAAAAGCAGTCTCTTATTAGCTTAAGAAAGAAAATATTGAAAACGCTTTCATAGTTAAAATATTTTATGAAAATAGAGTTCTTGACTGGTGAAAAAAAGTAAAAAACAAAATCATACTATATATACCCCCCCCCCCCCAAATAAGTTTTCAACGAGCCAATAACTTCATTTTGGATCGAAAAGTAATTAATCTCTTGAAAAAAAATTGAATTCTTCAAAATTTTTTTTAATTTCCTGTCTCGCATAAGAAGATATCTTTATGATAAGTTTGGAATGGATACCTGGACAAAATATAGTATTGAACTGAAATGAAGACAGACAGATTAATAAAAATACAAATTAGTTATATTTTAAAAATTTAATTTTTATGAAATCTAAACTATAAGAATGATTTTATAGAATTCATTGAGACAATTTAATCGAATCTTATTAATCGATTTTAAAATTAATAATCGTTCATTAAGAATAATATAGGACATACATTGAAATTTAAACTTGAAACGAAGAAGAAATTTGAAGGAGTACACATTAACTTAAAATGATGAGTTTTGGATATTTGATGGAATAATTACATTGTAAATTAGGATGGGAATAGACTTTTTTTTTTTTGAATTTCAAAACCTACCTATGCGGAAAATTTGTTCTATGATATATAGATGAAGGGGAAATAAAATTAAAGACGGGGGGGGGGTACACAAGGGGACTAAAGTTTAGGTATTTGAGATTTTTAATGCTAAACATTAAAGTAATTCTTATTAAAGAAAAACAGGTATTTTTTTAGTAATTTTTAACATTTATTGCAATGAGAGGACACCTACTAAATAGTAATAAGGAAAAGTACCAGGCTCATTGAACAGCTTCTTTGGTACCAAATTTTGAAAAACCTACTGTCAGAATTACAGTGCACAATAAAGCGGGAAAAGCTTGGATCGGACTGATTCGATGGTGCTGGGCTGGGGTTATGAAATGTTACAATGTACTTAGTACGTTTTTATTTTTCATAACTCCAGCGTGTTTGACGTCAGTGAAACAAAGGGGAAAAAATCTAGCAACATTAGAAAAAAATTCCTATACCATTATTCTACAACTCAAGTATAAAGAGATATTAAACCTTACATATTCCACGGAAATCAAAACAACATCCACTAGCCAATTAGTTATTCCAGATCATTAATTCTCAAATGACACAAGTGACAGCTTCTACAGGATTCATTGCACCCTTGTACAAAAATCGATGGGTATTCCTCCTAGCCGTACGCTAATGAACAAAAGAATTGTTATTTAAAAACGTGTCTTTAAGGATCATTAGATGCTTTTGGAAAAGCTATCGTTCTACAATTACCGTTGCCATTTTTCTATTAAAAATAGATTATTGTTCACGGAAGAGGAGGCTCTGTTTTAACTAACTTAGTACTTAATCTAAGTCATTCATTAACAAAATGCCCGAGCAATTCAAAATCTGTTACCCTCAATGGTTTGCATGACATGCTGGTTTCACAATTAGCCTAGTTTTTAATTTTTATTTTCAAAGTCGAGTTGGATCATTTTTCATTGGAATCATTAAACAAATATGCTTAATTACTCAGACTACATACGCCACGACAAATTTTTTTTATGTTATATTAAGATTAATTATGTTGCTGAAAACTAAAAATTGTTTCAATTAATATTGTTCGTATGAATTACTTTGATAATGAAAAATATCTTGAAATGGCTTCGAATTTTAAAAAAAATACAGAAGCGCAGACGATACTTTTCGTTGAGAATTTTTATAATGGATTGTTTTAAATGATCAACTTGCACCAAAGAATTTTTGACTGGATATTAATTAGGTTTTTTTTCACAACCCTTCATTAATTATTTTTTCCTTCTTGAATCAAATTGGGCTCAAGAAAATTTTGTTACTCGAATGAATCTTGAATTTTTTTAAAAAAAAAATTTAAGCTTTTAATGAGAAGATAAAGACATTTTAATGAAATATCTAGAGCATTTAATAGAAGGAATTAACATTGTAATGTTTGGAATGTTTTTAAACTTCACATAAATCAATATTTACGATAGAATTCTATCGTATTAAGATGCATAAAATTCATGGTAAAATATTTAATTGTTTTATCACAATTGTTAATTTAATTAAAGGATGATTTTAACGTTCTCCAAAAGTTAGACTAATAACAGAAGCAAAAAATAAATAGCAATTTGCTTAACAGTTGCAATTTTTGCATATAATTTACCATGAAATTTTTTGCAATTTTTGTTTGTTTGTACTCTGTTGCTAGAGAAAAGGGTGGGAAGAAAAAAAATTGAGATTTTTTTTAGTAATATTAATAATTTTTTTTTGTCTGGTATTTTTACATCGGATTTTTCTTATTTTTAGCAATAGTTTGGTTTTTTATTGTACAATTTTGTTTAAATCTTCAATGCATCTCAAAACTGACATAATTAAAAAAATTTTTTTTTAATTTTGTAAGAAATGAGACTTACGTATGCTTTATGCATTTTTTCATGTTTGCATCAGAATACATTTCAATACCATTCATGGCAAAAAACAGATGTTTTTTTTTGTTTCGATTTTGAATAGAAAAAAATTATTGAAAAAACTGAAGAATAAAAAAAGGTAAAAAGAGCAAATAAACATCAACTGTTTAACCAAAAAAATTACAATCCAATAAAAATGTTATAAATTTGTTATAATCGTAATAAATATATTCGTATCGTTCCTTTTTCAATTCCTGCTATTAGTTCTTATTCCCCTTATATATATATATATATATATATCTTGTTTAAATTTTCAATCGCGTTAATAAAATACTTTCCATTCAAGTTCAAATACTTTTTTTTAAACTTGCAGTGGATGACACTTGATGTTAATACAGCTTTTTCAAATATTAATTCACTAATTAAATTTAATTTTTGAATAAATAGTAACAAACAATAATAATAGTCCAACACCATATATAAAAAGGAAAAACGCTTGTTGTGTCCCTGTAGCGCAATGGATAGCGCGTTGGTATTCTGATCCGAAGGTCGTGAGATCGAGTTCCACCTGGGATGTCCTGATTTATGAGAATGTGTTTTCTTTTTACTATACTATTTTGTTAGAATAATTAAATTTAATTAATGAATAAATAGTAACAAACAAAAATAACAGTCTAACACCATATATAGAAAGGAAAATGGAAAATAGCAAGGAATATTGTGATTCTGTCATATGTATATGCATATTTATATTACTTGTAATTATTTAATAAAAAGTAAATAAAATAAAATTTTTCTTTGCTGCCTAAGTAGGAATTGACTTAATTTTTTTTATATTACTTGTTTTATCTATATTTAAGGGGGTCAGTTCACACAGCATTGTTCCTGCCTTCATAATGTTAAAAAGGATTAAGTTTAAGGAACATTTTTTAAAAAAATTCACCGTTGTTACCAATATTTTTTTATGTGAAACTTCTTTGCGGACGGGAGAGAATGGGAAATTTACCCAGTTTTGCGTAACAGTGAAAAAACGAACGGAAGTAGTGATTCCCTCCATCCCCCCGAAACGTCGCCATGGTGAGGAGATAGCGAGCGGGAGGAAAAGAGAACGGGGGTACACCACGTGACCTGCGTCATATCCGTGAAAAAGTTGGACGATTACTAAGACGGGTATATCTTGCTGCTATGGATGAAAGGCGCTTAGGTGTTGGTGACATTAAGTGGGTACCCTTGCTGCTCTCGTAACGAACTCACGTGGCTTATTTTCGTAGTTTTTATGTAACAAATGAGCCGTTTTCAACGAAATAAACACACCCAAAACAAAAAAAAATCCCGTTTTGGGAGTTTCGGGGGATTGTGTATGTGTCATTAACGTTTGCGCCAGAATGGCTACGGATAGCGTCTTGTAAACAAACACAGTGACTTCTGTTAGTGTGCATTAAGTTTATATTATTAATTTTTATTTCCATTGAATCAAAATAAATTCTGTTCAGATAGCCTAGAGCAAATGCAAAAAGAGGAGAAGAACTTTGTGTAAGATAAAAATAAGCAAAACTAGCAGCAATTCCAGGCGAACCAGGTAGTACTGTCGCAGCTTTTATCTTTATCCATAAAGTTTTAGTGCTGTACACATCAGAGGCTGCTGCAATCATTGGATCCGATAATGATTAAAAACCGATTATCTTAACTGGAGACTTTAATGTTAATTTTGCTTCAGAGGAAGAAAAGCCTCTCATTGAATTCTTGAAACGGACACTGAATTTGACAATGAATACTGATTCTAGAGAAGGAGAAACAATATACGGAACCACGATTGATGCAGTTTTTTCACATTTTCTTGATTGACTATAATCGAGGATTTTTATATCCTACTTTAGTTTTTCCCACACCTATTGTGTCTTTCTTGAAAAATGACGACGCAGAAAATTGAATAAAAATATTTTCAAACAATAAATGAAGTTCGAATTTTATTTGATTAAAGTTATCTCAGCAGTTTAATATAATTAGATCTATTCCTGCATTTACGGCCAACGTCGCCAAAGAAGTTTCACTTTTATCGCGTGGCTTTCCACGTTCTTTTTTTTTTTTAAATTAATTTATTGCATTATAATTATTATTTTAAGAGAGCATTTTTGAAAGTTCTGAGAAAAAATCCATGTGTGGAATAGCATGGGATAGCCTTCGAAATGATGGAATTTAATGTACACACACACACACACAATTTAAGCCATATACTTTTTTAAATAACACACACACCATGTATGTATGTGTGTTAATATGAAAGGTTGTACAAATTAGAAACTATCTTAGCAATTCTACGAGAGATTTTTCCCAAATAAATTCTATTCAATCCATTTTTTTTTTTTTTTTTTTTTGCACAGTATCGAATGCGAATGATAAATATTTTGTGACTATACAAAGAGACATATATAAGTACAGAAACCCACAAATAAGTATAACTTTAAAATCCATTAGTCAGATTGCTTACATCTTTAATTCTCTAGTCGTGTCAATTTTACTTTTAGGTAAAATGCATGTCCATATATGCAAACATTGAAGATATATATATCTATATATATAAAAGCCTACTGTGTGCTTCTGCAGGCAAACACGGAAGTGGAAAGGTTAACATGAACCACAGAATAAAATGGAAAGTTTTCATTTTAAAATGGATTTGGAAATAAAGTGTAAGAAGTGAAGTGAATCCCTTGTGTATTGCTCATCCCATCATATAATGCATATTTGATCAGATTCGGTCTGATTTCCCGTTGCCTGTGACCTAGTTTCGAAGATAAATACGCCCTCAATGATGTTTTATTTTTGAGGGTATACGGGTTGAATATAGTGCTTTAAGAGTTAGTGTTATCGTTCGATTTGTCGTTATATATTCATTGATTACATTCTAGAAAGAGGTGATTGTGGATATTAGATGTCATATTTTTATTTTTTTATATTCCCTGATAAAATAGTTTCAAATATTTAAGCACGTGTAAGCGTAATATTGAAACTATAACATATTATTTTTGATGGATATGACGTAATTTAAAATAAGTAATATAAAAAAAATTAAGTCAATTCCTACTTAGGTGGACAAAGAAATTTTTTTATTTTAGTTGCATTTTATTAAATAGCTACTATTAATATAAATATGTAAAAACATGACAGAATCACTTTATTAAGTGACAAAATAGATAGCAATTTTCCCTTCTATATATGGTGTTGGACTATTTTTTTGTTTGTTACTTTTATTCATTCATTAAATCTTATTATTCCTAAAATAGTATAGTAAAAAAAAATCACATTCACAGAAATTAGGCCATCCCAGCTGGGATTCAAATCCATGACCTTCGGATTAGAAGTCCAAAACGCTATCCATTGCGCTACAGGGACACAACGAACGGTTTTCCTTTATATATATACTGTTGGATTATTATTTTTGTTTGTTACAATTTATTCACTTTTTAAATTTAATTAATGAATTTTTTTTTTTGAAAAACTGAATGAATATCAAGTGTTATCCACTACAAATCTAAAAAATTGGTTTGAACTTGAATGGATGGATAGAAAGTATTTTATTAAGGATTGAAAATTTGAACAAGATTATATATATATATATTATATATATATATATATATATATATATAGATAGATAGATAAATAAAGAGTGAACTAATAGTAGGAATTGAAAAAAAATAAGAATAAAAATTAACATTTTTGGGATTGAGGGAAGAAAATTAAACAAGATTTATCTTTAGAAACATAGAAAATTGTTTCCTTAAAATTTTCCATAACTCTGAAGTATTATAACTTTCAATTATCACTTCGCTTCAACGCTTGTGGCAGCGATAGCCTAGTGCAGGGATGGCGAACCTTTTTAGAGACGTGGGTCAAATTTTGTTCATATTTTTTTCAGTACTAGCTCGTGGGTCACTAATGCTATTTGTATTAGAGATAAGTTTAAAACTTTTTAACTGAGTATTTTTAAAGCTAAACATCTTTAAATTCAATTGGCTTAACGAGTAAAAAGAAATGAGGTTTGACGATTTAAAATTATTTAGTAGGCTAAATGTTCTGAAGTGTTTAGTGTAAATGACAATGAGTGTTTGAATGAACAAGGAGTAACGAAAATTACATACTATATACACACATGGACAAAAAAATTAGCGCACCAAGAAAGAGTCATCAAAATGAAACGACATTTTACATACGTAATGACTACTTTGATATAATTAAATGATTAGAAAATTAAAGGAAAAGGATCATTTATTTCAAAGAAAAAGACAAAAGAACACAGGATTTAATACCCTGTTGAAGCCCCTCTAGCGTGAATGCACAATGCGATACGATCGGGCATTCAGACATACAAGTTCTGTATGATGTCTTGAGACATTTCGTTCCATATTTGCTGTACCCTTACCTCTAGTTCGTTCAAACTCATGGGATGCCCGACTCGCCGTCCCAAATGATCCCAGATATGCTCGATTGGAGACAAATCTGGGGATCGGGCAGGCCAAGGAAGGGTAGTAACAGTGCGAAGACAGTCTTGTGACACCCTTGCCGTGTGGCGCCGAGCATTGTCTTGTTGAAAAAGGCTCCTGGGAGCCGTTGCATGAGTTGCAACACATGTGGTTGCAGGATGTAATGGACAAAACCGTGGGGCTGTCGTGATGCCACGGATCAATACTAAGGGAGATCGTGTATGTAGGCAATGGCACCCCATACCATCCCACCAGCTGTGGGAGCGGTGTGTCACTGTAAAGCAAAGACAGGATTGAGGGGTTCACCACGGGGTCTCCACACAAGAACACGATTGTCATCACTGCTGAGATTGAATCTGGATTCGCCGCTAAAGACGACCTGGTTCCATTCCGCTGCAGTCCAGTTTCCTCGTGCGGGGCACCACTCCAAACGGAGGCGTCAATGGGTGGGTGTCAAGGGCAGCACACGTAATAAGTGCCGCGATCCCAAATGTCCTTCAGCCAGGCTCCTTTGTATGGTTCAAGAAGACACAGGGACCCCTAGTGAGGTGTTACCTGTGCCTCGATGGTGGTCGATGAAGCAGTTGGCTGTACGCGTGCATTTCTTACGATGTGCGGTCTTCTCGACGACTGGATTGTCGAGGGCATCCGAGCCTGGTCTTCGTGTAAATGACATCTCTTGGATCCATTGGTCTCAACACAATCAGAGCTGCCTAATTGACGAGCTCCTCGCCTAGCTGACCAGCTAGCTTCCATAATGCCGATGATTCTCCCCCTCTCAAAATGAGACAGCTGCTCATATTGTCTTCGAAAACGGTGTAATTGCATGTCTACATGAGCGCTTCCTTTGTAAGTGATTCAGCACACTCAAACAAGCTTTGGTTACCTGTTTTATACTCAACGGAGAAAGACTTTAAACGTCCTCTACCTTCTACACGTAATGCGCGATCACGCTGCTTTTCTAATAATTTACATATCTCTCCGACATGTACCTTCATGCCAAGTTTCGTTACGATCCCGCCATTATTTTTTTGTGCACTAATTTTTTTGTCCATGAGTGTATATTGTGAAGTATTATTTATTAGTATATATAATATT